GTACAAAGCAGTAAGCAAATTGATGTGCAGTTGAAGAGGATAATTTGTCTAGACATATGGAGAGTACAAAAATTATGTAATTATGCAGATCTGTTGTTGTTTTAGAGTGAAATTATAATGCTAAGTGCATTCAGCTTTCGGCAAATGAAGTAAAAAAAAGAAAAACAAAAAGTCTGCAAACTTCCAAACACTTGTCTTTAACTAATGGCCAAACCAGATAATCTGCTCACACCGAGCTTAGATTTGAGTACAGTTCCCATTCAGATATAGGTTGCATCACCACTGAAATTAGAGGCAAAATATTCCCCCAGAATTGAATTGGGGTGATATTTGAATTTCCAGAGCAAAACTTACTCACTGAATGATGGCTAAGGTCATATACAATATAAATGAGTTATTATAGCTCTACCTGAGAATATAAGCTGCAGTCCATGCTCTTAGTTGAATAATCAAATTATTTATCCAGAAATTGCTAGGTGCTACTACGATAAAGGGCATATTGTAGCCTTATGCTTTTTGGCTTGGTTTGAAAATTCCATGTGGCAGGCTTTAACTTTCTTATTAAGTACTTGTCAGTGTGGCATAACTCATGAAATAAGAAGAAATGTAGTTTGGGATTTGATTGTGCCATTGCATTAAGTGTTTGAAGGCCCCACTGTGCCTTGTGATTAGTGCCAGACCAAAGAACTTCCAAATTAGATATTGAATAAAGCAATAAAGGGGGTGAAAAAGTGAGGTGAGACGGAGTTTTTTATTTGATAGAACAAGCTGTCTATTTTTGATTGTTTTGTTTTTATTAGGGTGATTACTTTTTCTGTCATCCATTAGGCAAGAGGTTGAAGTTTCACAATCTGAAGGAATGCATTGTGTCACCTTCAGAGAAGTAACAGACCTGATAGGTCATGTGTGCCAGTGTTCTTGGCACCTGGCATCTGCCAGTCTTGACATACAGGAAGATGTCTGGCATATTTCAGGGTAGGATGTGTGCAAGAGCTGTCTGGTTAAACACAAGGAATGTTTAGAATGTGAAGGAGAGAGGGATGGGGGCAAATAAACCAGAAGACAGCCTCAGTAGGTGTGTTTTGAACTGAACCAATGAGGTCCTGGTTCCAGTTTTCAAGACCAGAAAGTTGTGGTAGACAGGAGACACGATGCTGATGGGAACCTAAAGGCTGCATTCATTGTAGTTAAATGTGAATAGATGTCTGCTTTGCTAATCCTGTAGGCTGCCTGTGAGGAGGAAGATGTGTGACATGAGGCAAGGAGCTCTCATTTTATTAGCTCTTTATGGAGGAAATGGGTATGTTTTCATCCATCTGAGATGAAGGTCTATTCAGAAACTGTTGGGGGGGAATGTTTATTAGAAAGTTGCACAGTTAGGTGGTATGAAACAATGGTGAAAATATTGGATCAACATATAATTTTCTATGTGAAATTCAGGCTCATTGGTCCATTTCAACGCAGCTGGCAGAAGCAAAACCAATTGCTTATTCCTACATGACTGTGTTGTCTCTAGTGCTCTGTGGCCTTGACTAAAAAGCCCTCCACAGGGCAATTGGTTTGTGTCTGAAGCTTTGGGTGTGATAAATGTACTTCACTGAGTTTCCTTGGCAGCAATGAGATAGTCCAGAGGAGATATACTCTGCTCTTTAGCAGGCTTCCCCTTCCCTCTCCAAGCTGATGAGATACTGAAAATGATGGAGAATGCAGTGGTCTGTCAGCAGAGCTGCTGAACAGGGCGTCTCTGGGTATCTCTTAATATTTGGCCTGAAGTCTGCTGTATAGCGTGCGTATGTTTGATGTGAAGCAAAAAGGCATATAGGAATGGCCCATAAGAATTCTCACCCAGTTTGTTCTTATAACTGGCATCTAATCCCCATCTCAGATTAAAAAAAAAAACACTAACCAACAAAAAAAAAAAAAAAAAAACAAAAACAAAAAAAAAACCCACAAAAACCTTTTTTTGTTGGAACAATAGATTTGGAACTCCAAATCAATTTTTTCCTTGTCTTGAATATCCTGAATTTAATTGCTGTGTCAGTTTGTTTGGGTCTCTCAAACTTACAGGACAATGTACTCCGTGATTTAAACTTTGTTTCATGAACTTATTAAGAACTATAACTAACACGACAAAGAGGGGCTCAATCTCCTTTTGTCTAGGTCAGTCTATCACATGAAATCATTTATGTACCATTCAAGCTGTAAGGTTTCATAATTTATAACCTAAAACTCCTAACTGGTACACCTCCAAGCAAAACAAAAACAAAACAAAACAAAAAAAAACCACCTACCTGAGGTTTTTATTTTTTTAAAATAAAACCTACCTGAGATTGCTTATCCCTTCTCCTCTGTCATGGGACAAGTGTTCCCTTTGTCACACTAAGTAGCAGGAAGGCTTCAGCAGTCCAGCTCCTGTTGGATTTGCTTCTAAAGCTTTTTGGGTAAGCTGATATTTTATACCTTCTAGCTTAGAGGTTTGGCCTATACCATTTTTTATAAGTGAGCAGATTCTGGAGAAACTGCAACAGGAAAGATGACAGGAGACAAAGATTTGCCAGTGATAATGGTGCGTAATGCTCAAAATGGCTCTTGAGCTCTTTCAGGCCACCTGTCTGCCTACTTGGTGCTCTTGCTTTGACTTACTGGCCCTGTGCCCAGCATCCATCAGGCCTCACCAGCAGGTCAGCCAAAATCTGAGCAGAAGCTGAGTGAACTGTCACACTGAACACACCAGAAGTATTTTAAAAAGGTCTTTTTTTCCTAGCAGTTCAAGGGTACATTCCCAGCTTAGAGGTTTGGATCAAGTTATAAACTGTGGTGGCTTTTAAGTAAATTTTTAATGGTGAAGGGTATGATAAATTATCCAGTTGGTTGGGCATCCAGACATATTCCAGGAGCAGTCCAATTTATTGCTGAAATATGAAGTTAAATCATTATCAGCTTTGACAACTTCACTGAGATGTAATAAAACATTATCCATCATCCAGAGTAGAACACTTGAAATCATTCTATTTAATATATTTTTAATAATACAAGTAAAATATAAGCAATTTATCTGCAGGGACTTGTTCTTAAACTTGGTGAAAGTGAGAAAACATGGTTCTCGTAATAATTTATTCACGTTATCATTTTGAAGCTATAAATCCAAAGAAAAAACTAGGGTGAATAATTTTATTATTGAATAGCACTCTTAAATTATTGAACTAAATATGACAGCTATTGAATGCATATTTTTAAGTATGTGGTGACTTTTCTTAAGACTGGGTGATGTGCAACTGTTGTGATTTTCAAAAGAAAACAAAAGCACATGGCAATTTCTCTAGCACTTTTTCTCTGGTAGCCAAATAGCACCTGCAGGATCATGTTTCCTTAGTCCTTTAACAGTTCTCATTGTACCAGTCTCTGCAGACAAATAAGCAATTGATACTGGGAGTCAATGAATTTCAGCTTCATTCTGTCAATGTATAGGGAGTTAATGAAGCCTAGGAGGCTGCCTGAAACAGCAGGTTGGAATATTGCTTCTTGGTGTGTTCTGCTTAGTTTAAAATATCCCTGAAACAGGGTAGTTCTTTGCTTATTTGAAGATTCAAGTATCAGAGTTCCCAGCTTGGCTCTGGCACAGTCTAAATATGCGAAGCTGTTCTTTGAGTTCCTGTGTCAGAAGTGCTCATCTTCAAAAGGGAGGAATTTAATCTTCCTTTCTTCAGCACTGCATATCTCCTACTGCCTGGGTCAGAAGCTCCTGTGTTTTTTTGTAATGTGAGACACAGCAGGCTCTAGATTTTAATGGAAAATTGCATATTCTGTAGAAAATAGTCTGTATGTAGACAGCTTTCAATATGTTTTGGATGCCTCAGTTCTTATAAAGGTAACCATTTATACCTTTTTACTTTTTTCCTCTTATTAAAAAAATCACTAGTTACAGGTTTAGTAGTATCCAATAAAGATCTTAAACAAATAGTTAGCCTCAATTTAAAAAACTAAAGCTTACATAGAGAAACTTTGAAATGCTATCATTGTTGAAACCCTCAAAGCAAGGCTTTGAGATTATGAATCCTCATCCTTTTATCATCCCAAATTTAGTTATTGTTTTGTTTAGTCCCCTAATTACAGCAGAGTGCAGAAGCCAATTACAAAGCATTTATGCATGAAGCGATGAAAAAACTCCAACAGAATTACTGTATTTGAGCACTACTTAAAAGGCAAAGAAAAAGAAAGTTGTGACTCATTTATGTTCTTTTTTGAGGGAAGAAGTGGCTTTACCTGAATGTGGTGAAGCTCCCACAGCATGCATAAAGACTAGGCATAAGGTCATTCCTTAGGAAGAGACTACAGTCAGTGTCCTGAGTTGAGCCTTTGTGAATCCCGTGGGACAGGAGAAAGAAGCAAATTTTGAATCTGGAATGGAAACTTGAGAATATACTTATTACAACTGTATTGTCTCTGGATCTTGATCTTTACTTTGACCTTAACCTGGGATAGTGTTAAGGGGGATTTCAATGTATCAGGTAAAACTGGGTCATTTCATTCCCATAGTATTTGGAATCAAGGAGCTGGGCCAGTACTGGCTGCAGTACCAAGCAGACAACTGACTGCTGCAGGTTTCCTGATGAATTGTATCCATCATGGACCAGGATGTCGATGTAACTGGTCAGTGGTGGACACAATTCAATCATTGTAAAAGGTGTTTCCTTTACAGTATGTAAACCAGTTGTTAAAGAATGTACATTGGTAAGCATCTTTTCCATGACTGAGAGTGCTTGACTGTCAGAAGAAAAAAAGATCTGTCACTTTGACCTGCTTCGCCTTTTGAGATCAATGTCATAATTCAAATCCTAAGAGTAGGCTTGTAAAATGATTGTTTGCTGTAAGAATTTGAATAAACCTAATGCTATTTAAGATGTTTTGTGTGGGTTTCTTTCCACTTGTTGCCTGATTCTTGGTAATGGACCTAAATCCTCTGGAATTTTATGAACTTGACTCTCATTCCCCTGTCCCTCCAAAGGTCTGGGAGTTACAATATATATTCATTGTAATACATGGGAAACTGGCTTTGCTCAGACTTGATTTTGGTTCAAATTATGATTTGAATTTCCCTTCATTTGATACTGTGTTGACTGCACATACCTTCATTTGATATTGTGTAGTCAACACGATATGAAATGAAGGGAAATGAAAGTACAGCAGTTCTTACTCATCTTACTGTCTGTGCATGCACACTATATGCAAAAAACATTTCTAGTGTTTGAGGCTGGAATGTATGTTTCTCTTCCCATTTCAAGGAAGTGAATTGCTATTAACCATTTGTTGAGTGAACACTGACATCTCTTTATCCTAGGAGCCATCATTTGAGATGCTTCCGTTGTCTGGGAAAACAATAATATTTGATAGCTTTCCTGATCCTTCAGATACCTGGGAAATAATTGAGACTATTGGCAAAGGAACTTATGGAAAAGTTTTCAAGGTGTTAAATAAGAAAAATGGCAGCAAAGCAGCAGTCAAAATTTTGGATCCTGTTCATGTAAGTTACTTAAATTACTTGATTAATTGTGAGCTTATGTAGTCTTTTTTTTTTTTTTTTCCTCTTAATCTTTGTAGATAATTTGTATTAGAAGTGACTGTGAAATAAACTATTTCAGCCTGCTATGTATCAAGCTAGCTATCAATGCATTTTTATTAACATAAGTGATCTTGGAAGTGGTTGCTTATGGTGAAAGTTAGAAATATACCTAAACTGTGTTGCTTTTACTTTGTTACCTCTTCTCTTTTGTTTTCAGAAGCAGAGCTGATTATTTTCCTTTTCAGTATTAGGAGTCCTAGCTTATTCTATTTTTACTGTTGTTCCCTTTCCTTTTTTTAAGTGTTTGACATACTGGCCAGTAAGGAAGTTATGTACTTCTAAGTACTTAGGCTGTACCTTCAAGCATCTGAGTACACGCTGGTAGCTGAGTTACATGCTATGAGTGATACTTCAAAAATAAATTAGCATATTTTATTGTTATTGTTCATTCTGTGTTTTTGGAATGTGCCAAAATATGTGGGTCTTACAGAGAAATCCATCTTTTCAAATGGAAAATGCAAAGGGATTAGCTCTACACACAAAGCACCAGACAACTGGGAGGTGGAATTATGAGATTGTAGAGCATGGTTTTGTTCTCAATAACTGACATTTGTTGGGTGGCAGATTAATGCTCAGAGAGAAAGGAAGAACACTAGTCTTGGTTTGTACAGACACACCCACCGACTTTGGTGGTGCTGCGCATGGCTTGGGACTTTCCTTGAGAACAAAACATGGCAAAGCAGCTGTTCCTATTTTGGCGGCCCATTTAAGTTCTTCTGCACTCCCAGTATGGTTTTATGGGGTGTGTGCTTCCATGGCATGACCTCTAGGCAGGAATGAGTGAGCATGCCATGCTGTGTGGACCCTATAGGTCTGGAGCTGCACAGCCACACAGGGCTCTTCTTCCTCTGCATATCACACAGTGTCAGATTATGATCCCATAGACTGAAATTCTATGAAATACATTGGTGAAAACATAGTATCTTCCATTATCTATGCTGTGTTTCTTGCTGATCTGCTTTTTATTTCAGAGTGCCTTCAAAGCAACAAAAGGGTGCTCATCTCAATTCCTCAATTCAATACCACAACCTCTCCCAAAGTAAACATAACCTGCCAAGTGATAAGCATCTTGATGAGTTCAAATGTATTGGAAACTATTTTTTATTCTATTGCTTTCTGTAAACAAGGTTCTTGTGCTTACAATAAATAGGTATGACTTCCTTGCCATTGGTGTTCATCTAAATGCCTGTTTGGCAGGAAATGCTTTTGCTTTCCTATTCTTCAGAAGTGTTCAGGAGTGATTCTTAAGTGGCAGCTGGCTATGGCAGGAATTCCTGAAGAAATCAGTGAAACTTGCAATGTTCTTAACACTTTGGAGGTTGCAGAAAAAGATTAAAGGATGATGATAGGAAGAAAAAACAAATAGCAAAGCTGATGCTAGGGGAAAAAGAAATAGATTAAGTAGGAAAAAAGGAATAGAATATAAAGGAGATGTAAGAAATAGGATTTATAAAGATGCAATATAAGAAATTGAAGATGGGAAAATGTATAACTGATGAAATCTGGTTCCTTATTTTAATGAAAAAATGGCAGTAGTGCAGTCAACATCAGTCTTCCAAGACTTGGCTCTTAACTAAATGTTTTACCCTTTTTTTACTAAGAGCACTATTCTTCTTTGCCCTCTTCTATTTACAGGGTGTCTGGAGTAGCTGCTGTACCTCCATGTTACTGCTAAAATGACAATCCTGTATCGGAAATAAACTGAAAGCAATAAATGAGTTCTTTTTTATTTAAACTGAAAGTATTATTAATGGCTGCAGAGGGAGCCATTGCAATGAAGGAAAAGATACTTTAAGTATTTTCTTCTTTACATTTTACAATTCTTTTTGTTTGGAGATAGTTTCAAAATTGTGCCTCTTGAGAGGTAGATGGGAAACAAAGCAGAAGAAATATGGTTTGGTTTAACTGATATTTTGAAATTAAACTGGGAACCTATATTATCATGGGTGATACAAGACTGAAATAAGCATTTAATATTTAATCCTTTAGAGCACAGACTCTTTTTGCTGGATAACAGCTCAGCCTTTTGAACCTGAAACAGGAAAGCAAAGATGTTGAAATGACTATTTATGAAGACGTTATGAGAAGGCTTAGTCTTGTCCTTATAACTATAAGTAAACACCATTGTACTTTAGAACTCTTAGTCAAATTATCCTATATATAGGATGAAAATTTTCAGTCTGCCATTTTTAATACAGTTCTTTTATGAAGGCAAATATGCTAAACTCAACCAAATATTTCATGTTTTTTCCTTTATGAAATATCGAGGAATATTTTTTGTTTTAGTAGGTACGGAATGAATATTCTATCATTTAATTTCTCCTTATAATTGTAGAAGTCTTACAAAATCTGAGTACCCCTCAGGAGACAGAAAACTCTATTAATTCACAGTAGGACAGTGGGCTAATTCTCTTCCAATTTCCCCAAGGCAGTCAAAACTATTGTATGCTTTGTTTTTAATTTTTTTGCTTTTGACTGTATTTTTTTCTTTCTTTTGTTTTTGCCAGATGTGTTGTCTGTCTTCATCCTTGCTTCTTTCTCTTTCCTTTCTCTGCTACCTTCAGTACTTTGGTTCTTTCTTCCTTCCTTGAATTTTTTTTTCCTGTCTTCTGTGCTGTGCTAGAGAAAATTACCTTAAATGAGCTTCTCCTTTTTTAGAAAGAGGAAAATTCCTGCTGTTTTTCAGTTGTTCCAATAACAAGATCTCTAAAATCCTTCCTTGTGAGAAGACTTATCCTGGTAATCTTAATATGAAAGTTTAATGGCCTGATTCATGATGATACTGGTAACAGAGGAAGCTCTTGGAGAACAGTCAAGCTGGTCTCAAGAGAAAAGGCTCCTGTGAGGAACTTGACTAGGATATTGGAGAGACCTGTTCAAGAAACAAGTGAGCAAAGTGCTCTTGGAGCAGGTGTGTGGAACAGAATGAGAAGGAGCATCATTCATATGGAATACAGAACTTTCCCTTTCTCTGCCATGGTCACTTCTATTTGGCTTTGCTGAGACAGGTTTTTGGCACTGAGTAGATGCTTTCCACGGATATGAAATCCATTCATATGGATAGTGGAGTTCATAAGGGAGCCTTCTTCTAGATTTTTCACTTATTTTTGTGTAGTTGTAAATAGCAAATTGTATTAAAAATGTTTTAAGTCTCAAAGAAGTACACTAACATTTTTTTTGAGATTGAAACAATAAGGGGAAAATGGCTGCAGATATTTGCCTTTATCAGGCAGGGATTGAATATTTTATCAGCATGACTCAAATGCAGTGTAATCATCATCTCTCAATGAGCAATTCCAGTGCACAGGTGGGAAAGGTTTACTTGAGTCATCCAATGCCTGCTAAAGCCTGCCGATGTCTGTGTCCATTTTTGGTCTGAAGGGATTTGCAGAACTCCCAGTGCATCTATTGGCAAAATTGGTCCTCATATCTCACCTCCAAAAGGATTTCCCTCACTAAGAAACCCAAGGTTTGTAATGAGAGTGTGACAAAAAGCCATGATTATTATAGTTCAGTAGCATAGCACAGAGACTATGGATGGCACCAGATTTTATGACAGTAGAAAATGAGAAGAATTCCCAGATAATTCTAGAAAGTGGGATGGCAAATGAATAAGATGTGGCTGCAGTCATACTTGTTCATGCACAGAGACATAGAGAGGTAGTCCCAACTGCACCATTTCTAGTTGGGGTTGCCATTAAGACTAAAGCAGTAACTTCCCAAGGCATCTGCATACCTGCCTACTTGTGGATTGCACTGGCTTTGCCTTGACATCGCAGAATAGTTAAGGTTGGAAGGGACCAGTGATGGGGTCATACGATCTAACCTCCCTGTTCAAGCAGGGTCTTTCTAGAGCACATGGCACAGGATTATATCCAGAGAGTTCTTGAATCTCTCCGGAGAGGGACACTCCACAACCTCTCTGGGCAACCTGTTACAGTGTCTGTCACCCATACAATAAAGAATTTCTTCATATTCAAGTGGAACTTCCTGTGCATCAGTTTCTGTCCATTGCCTCTCATCCTGTTGCTTGGCACCACTGAGAAGTGCCTGAATCCATCTTCTTGACACCCTCCCTTCAGACACTGATAGATATTGTTGAGGTCCCCTCTCAGTTTTCTCTTCTTGAAGCTGAACAGGCCCAGCTCCCTCAACTTTTCCTCATAAGAGAGATGCTCCAGCACCTTCATCATCTTTGTAGCTCCCTCTGGACCCACTCCATTAGCTCCATGTCTTTCTTGTCAGGAGCCCAGAACTGGACACAGCACTCCTGATGTGGCCTCACCAGGCTGAGTAGAGGGGCAGGATCGCCTCCCTCAACCTGTTGGCAATTCTTTTCCTAATACAGATGAGGATCCCATCAGCCTTTTTGGACCCCAGGATGCATTGCTGGCTCATGGACAACTTGTTGTCCTCCAGGACCCTTGCTCCTTCCGGAGAGTTGTTCTGTCATACCCCACATGTTCATTAGTTGTAACTGATAAAGACAAAATTAAAAAAAAAAATCTGTTTTGTATTCACTAAACAGAACCAGGCTTTGTAATTCTCTAAATGGTATATTCATGTTCTGTTTGGTTTTTTTTCTTTGTATCATTTCAAACTACATTTGAATTGACAAAAAATAATTTGTGGGTTTTGTTTTTTTATTGGCTATTATTATTTATTTGTTAACTGCTATGTATTTCTTGTTTGTGACACTAGGATATTGATGAAGAAATTGAAGCTGAGTACAACATTTTGAAAGCTCTCTCTGATCATCCCAATGTAGTCAAATTCTACGGAATGTACTATAAGAAAGATGTCAAAAATGGAGACCAGCTTTGGCTAGTTCTTGAGGTAAATAATATGGAAAAATAGGAGGTTTATTCCAGTTGATATTCCATTGTTGAGTATAAACAAAATGAATGTTATGCAAGTCATTTGTGTAATTTTTTTTTAAGAGTAGTTGCATGCAAAGTGATAAATGCTGTTGTTTAGTCTTTTTACTGGTCTATTTAATTCAGTGTTCAGTGTTCTTATCTTGAAATTACACTAATAGTCCTGTGCCTTCAGAATTAGGATATAAACTCAAAGGATTTGCTACCTAAAATCTTTCTTTGGTGAAAGGCTTGTCATGGGAATCTTCTTGTAGTAGCTTTTCTTTAAATATCACTAGCATTTGACATAGCAGTTAAAGAATACAGTATGGTGGTTTTTTTACAAATGAAATTATAGAAATTATTCAACTGAATTCCTTTTTTTTTCTATGGGAGGTAAATGCATAAATAGATAAATAAGCCAATAAAAGCAGCTATTGCCCAAATGCAGTTGACAGCAGCAGGATTTCCTCAAATTAAATTGGGAGCAAGATGTGTTTGTCTTTAGTTTTGAGTAATTTGTGAGCAAAGAGCTTGATCATAACAGTTTCTGTAGATTCACAGTCTGTTCTGTAAAAACTTCATCTTGTATCCAGAGGAAAACAAAGAGTATCTCTGACAGGAATATTGTGCTTTTCCTAGGAATCAAGACTTTTGCTGTCATTTGATCAGGATTTGATATAGTTGAGATTGAAGAAATGGTTGTATTTTATGATTTGTCAGCTAAGTAAATACAAATCTCCTACCAAATATCTCAATGATACAATGGTATCAAATTCTAGAAACAAGCTGTCAGTAATGCATTAGCTCTAAAAGAAATCTATTCCAAATTCTTGTATATTCCATTGGAAGATGTTTTTAAGAATGGTTTGCATTGGAAATCATAACAAATTATTAGGTTAGACTGGCATCAAAAGGTATCAGGTCTTTGTGAAGTGAGCATCTTGGAAAATCTGGCACTCATTGTGTCTCCTGGGCATTGGAAACTCTCATCTGTGAAACTTCTGGCCTGTAAACGATGGATGCCAAACAGCCAGACTGAAACAGACTGGGAGGAAAAGTCAAGTGTTTATATTTTAACTTTTATATTTCACATGGAATGATGTTCTTTATGAGAAAAACATGAGCCTGGCCTACATGCAGAGTATGTTTTATATTTACTATTTTTAAGCCAAGCTATACATGTGCAAGTATGGAATGTGTGGAACAGTCTTGGATGCTTTCTGCCACTGCACATGTAGATCTCTGGATGCAATGGATTTCAGCTGGTATGTGTAGATATGCATCAGCAAGAAAATAAATTTCAGTATTGACTTTGGTGAAGCTTTCCTATTAATAATAGTGTACATGAAAGAAAACTGTCATGAAACAGATTTCTCTGTTCAGGTGACATCTTCTTATCAGTTTGTGTGCAGCTTTACAGTTGCAGTTTGCTTCTCACAGCTGCTATTAAGGTGTCCTGCAGTTTATAAGAATGAGTATCTTTTCATTATCTCCATTTTGTGTTCTTTGATGGGATATATAGGCAACAGAATTTGGAGAGAATGTTTCTCAAATTTCACTAGGAATGGGTTGTAATAGATGGTAAAACTCAGCATTTAGTAATGCATTTAGAATCACCACTGCAGGTTACCAAATAAGTTATTCACTGGAGCATTTGAATCCATATATTAAGATGTTTGGGTTTAGTTTTTTTTTTCCTAGGGGAAAAAAATATTTGGCTTTTTAAGATCTGTCCCATGCAATATATTTCTACGAAAACTACCAATGGGAATGAAAATGAAACAAGAAAACATCTGTACAGAATGACAGTACTCTTGACTCTCAGTTCAGAAATGCCTTTCTCTCTGTAGGCTGCACTCAGATAAGCTGAACATCTGCTCCTCCTTGGATGTTGTTGTAATTGCAATACAGAATGTTGCAGGAAGGAGATTCCTGCCGGGTCCATTAGGCTTTGCCGTGTGTGTCCAAAGACGCAGGCAGGAGGAACTGTCCTACTGAGTCTGTTTTGGAAAGAAATCCCATCCTTGGGACGAATCAGCGTAGCAGTTTGGTGTCAGCAGACAGCAGCATGATGACACAGCTGAGGCAGAGTGTGCTGTAGCCCATTTCTTTCTGCTCTGGATGTTAGAAGGGAAAATATCTGAGATAGTTGGAAATCATCTGATGTAAGATGGAGCAGAGAGGAATTGTGTCAGGCCCCTACATGTGGGCGTGTAGGTCTGGGACAGGTGGGGAGAACAGATGGCACAGACCTTGCCTGGTGCAAAGAACAACCTAAGCAAGAAAGAGTGAAGGCTGAAAAGCCATAACAAGGTAAGTGGTAGGTATTACACAGCTTTTACTTGCTGCTGTAAACCAGAATTGTAATGCAACATATTTCTACAGTTCAATTCCTACAGAGATCAGGTAGAATTTTTAAGAAGTCCATTTTCAAAAGGTGCAAAGTTATGCATACCCTATTTGAGATGAATTTGGTTGAATTTGGGTCACATAAATACACTCGTGTATTTTATAGTCATCAATATATTTTTATAGGAAATAGAGGAAGCATGCATTATTTTTACAGTAAAAAAAAAAAACAACAAAACAACCCAACTTATTTAGTGGGTTAAAACTTATCTTGATAGGGGAAAAATTTTGGAAGGAATTACTTTCCACACAAAAATACAAATTTGTAATATCAAAGTGTATTGTAGAAACCTCTCACTTCTGGAGAGGTAGAGGGAATTGCCAAGAAGTGTTACAGAAATACATCCCTTTCACTCTGCTGAATGTCAAAAAGACTGACAAAATATTCTTTTTACGTGTTTGTTTGGGTTTTTTTCCCCTGAAGTGCATACATGAGCATTTTAAGAACATATGCAGTGTCCTGCTGAGTTAGGCCAATGGTCCTTGTAGCTCAACTTTCTGTGTACTGTGGTGGCACTAGAAGATGCTATTTAGGAAGACTTTGTTGTCCAGTTTTTACAGTCCATTTCCCTCATGCTTTCCAGCAACCACGATTGTTGTTTTGCAGATTATTACAGACTGTATCCCAGACTATTCAATTTAGTATCCATAAATGGACACACTAAACCTGATGATGATACAGGCATGCTCTATAATCTCCTTATGAGCATACAAGTTGAATTTTTGCATCACTATTATATGCTGATTTCTATTTGTATAATATTCCACATAGTAGAATATAATGTTTTCAACATGGCAAAAATGGTTCTAAATCTAATTATTTTTCAGTGTGAAGAAATTTAGATTCCTGCTCATATAAGAAGGGGAATATGGGTAGAGATATGGAAACTGGTGTTGTTTTTGTTGCTGTGACTATTTAGCAAGAGTAGAAAAATCCAAATTCTGTCACATGATACTTTTGGTGACACCTCCTCTGACTAATGAGCAGTGGCTGGAGTGAGCCCCACAGAAATTTGTGTGAGTGCCTTGAAGCAAGATCCAACAGTCTCACTTTGGCTTTTAAAAATATGAGCCTACCTGAGATAAACTAGAGACATCCCTGTATCAGTTACTTCTGTTTTGCATGAAATAGAGAACCCTGTGGTATGGACAATTTAATAATTTATTTAGGATTTTCCTTTGGCATGTTTACAGTATGCTATTTTAGATATAGGAGTTACTATATGCAGATGTGTTTCCATCTACAGGAATAAAGGCAAGTTTATGGAGTTCAAAAAAGCTTTGAATTGAAGTTTTTAATGGAAGTGTTTAATGGAATATATAATAAGAGTTATAATAAGAAAACAGTTATACAGTTGTTTCTGGTATGTGATATTTGCTGTAAAACAGTAATGTTTCAGGCAATTAGTATAGTGGAAAATAGCAAGTCCATTTAGAGTTCATAAAGGGCTGTGTGAAGGGCAGGAAGCTGTCATTTGCCTAAATATTATTAGCTATTTTCAAATGGCATATATAGCAGAAAAATTAAACAACTGAAAATTGCTTTTTCATATTTCTTAACACAGGTCATTTTTCAGAAATGTCTTTGGTTATAATTGCTCTATTCAGACCAATACTGAATGTTTTGATCCATTACATGCCTGAATTGGGCTTGATTTCTCTATTTCTAATGTGTCCCTCTTTGCTTCCCAATTATAGCAATTTTTCATTCTTGAATCATATCCTATTTTCTCAAGACCAAAGATGCGTGGCTACAACCATCATTTGATACTTCAAACTGTTACAAAATACTTATAATTTCTCTGCATAATGAATATTTCATATTACATTGTGGTTTGCACAGTTTACATCTTTTAAACAACTCGTTATGGCCTGTCTTGCTGGAGAATACTCACATGCAAAAACCTGGCTCTCAGTAACCTCTAGCAGTTTTTGCCACCATGCAGTAAAGCAGAAGCCCAGAAAATAGTTTTACCATATCACTATTTAATTCAGTAGCCTATGAGTAATATGCCTCTCACATTCTAATATTTAACATCACTTTGCTTTCTGTGCATTTTATTTTTGAACACAATTTTACCGAAGATGTAAGGTAATTTAAAAACAAGATAAAACAAAACACCAAAACCCACATTTGTGTAGTGTTTCATTAGGTCCCAGATAACCAGACCTCTTTTACCTGGGGAATGGGGAATAACATCATTATCTGTAATGGGGAATAGCATCATTCATTGAAAGAATGCTTGGATGAAGTGTTGTTTGTTCTTTCTTTGAGGGTTTGTTCTCTGACACCTGATGGTTAAGTGCTTAAATTCAACTGTGATAGACAGAACAATTTTGCTGCTTTTATGCTCAGTTTACATGCTGGGTCTCTATAAAGGGAGTGACTGAAGGCACTCCAATGGTAGGGAGAGAGGTCTCCTTGTCATTCTTTGTCAGACAGAGGTGGCTGAAAGCTGCTGACTAAAGGAGAAAAGTGCTATCACAAGGAACAGAGCTGGGAGGTTCAGAAACAAGACAGGTGTCAGTGGAGCCAGAAATAACGCCAGCATTTGTTGCTGCTGACTT